GCCTTTCCGACCATGATCAACGGCCTGTAAACAGGGCGGAGCGGAAACTAGGTCTTTCCGCCCGCCGCACACAAAAGTAGACTGGAGACAAGGCCTCGCCAGCTACCCAAATTGCTATTGAATATCATTGTTATCTTTACAAGTTAATATTTATAATTATTTCACTCTGTAATGTATCACACATACTTAAATATTCTAAATCTTTTTATCTCAACTGTCTGTAAGAAAACATTTTTCTGTAGACTAAAAATAAATAAATAAATAAATAAATAAATAAATAATAAGCATCCATAGCAAACAATTGAGAAAAAAAATAAATATTACGGGGATAAAAACATCTCATCAAATTTCTTTATTAACACACATAAATCCGATTGTGTTCTGATGTAACGATTTTTTTCGATTTAGTTGAAATGTAGGCGTTAAGGGCACTCCTTATCCATAATCGATTGATTAAAAACAAAAAAATAAAATTATATTAAAGTTAGAGCTATCCCAGAAAATCAAAGTTGAAGAATAAAAATCACCTTTGTGCACTTATGTACATATCTTTTTGCTGGAAGAAAGGCATGACACAAAAAAACACAGTTCTTAGTTATGGGTTTCCCGTTGAACAGAAATAACAATAACTAAAAAAATTGCATATATTTATAGCCGTAAATCAGTAATCAAACCCTAATTCTTCGGTTCCTCACTTTGTTAAAATATTGTTTTCCACGTATGGTTGCGGCCGCTGTGTATAGTGGTAAGCAGTACGCGCTTCCACTGCGCAGGGCCAGGGTTCAAGCCCTGGTTAAAGCAACATCGCAAAAAATATAGAAAAAGGTCTTTTCTTAACAGCGATCGCCCCTCGGCAGGCAATGGCAAACCTCCGAGAGTATTTCTGCCATAAAAAACACTTCGAATAAAAATGCAATCGCCATTCGGAGTCGCCGTAAAACTGTAGGTCCCTCCGCTTTGTGTGACAACATCAAGGCGCACGCCACAAGTCGGAGGAGAAGCTCGACCAAACACTAACATATGTGTAAGCGCCAATCTGTTATTATTATTAGTTATAGTTGCTAGGCAAAATGGTAACGCGGAAAATTGCAGAGCAGAAAAATCTCTTCTAATGAGCCACAGTTAACAGATGCCGTTCTTCATTTTTTACATAAAATAAAAGCAGGGCTGGTAGATATATTTGCATTACTAACTAAAAACAAAAAAGGACAGTGCTGTCTTGGGCTATGCCGAAGACTTAAAACCTTTCATTAACATCAGAAAATTTCACTTTAACCCATTCCTGCATCTGAAATTAGTTGTTTGGGAGCTAAAAAAAAAAAATCTTTGTATATTCACTGCATGCATAGAGGAGTTATGTAAAAAAAAATTATATCTGAACAATTTGTGGTATAGAAAATGTGCATCATAAGGCACCGATCTAAATGATATTCACTGCTAGGTATGATCGGTATGTAAGCCGGTAACACAATTTAATGGTTTTAGCTGCCTACATAAAGGATCTATATCGCAAAAACTTGTAGCTGAACAATCAGTGGTATAGGTACGGTGACCATTCGTCCTGTATTAAACGGGACAGTACTCTTTTTTAACCAATTGTCCTGGCAATTAATTTATTTTATACAGGACGCCAAATGTTCTGTATTTCTTTTAATGTACTGTATTTGTCCCGTATTCGGGGTTCGGTATTTCGACGCCTCAAAAGCTCATTAAAATAACATACCCATGAACTAGTTTTAAATGATGTTCGAATATCGAGCCCTAACCGCCAAAATAACGTAAGCGACATTTTTTTCAAAAATTTCATTTTGATGCAGAAATGCATCTAGATGCTCTAGGAATATTTCTGCATCAAAAAGAAAATTTTGTAAAAAATGTCGCTTACGTTATTTTGGCGGTTAGGGCTCGATATGATCGTAACTTTCTCCATAAACAGTTATTGTTTTCTAATCTGAATGCCTGTGCTTCGAATCGAGGAACACATACAGTGACCAAAATATAAATTAGGATTCTACATTTTAGCAAAGTTCGGCTATTTTTCTCGCTGTTTCAGGGCTGATAAATACTTCTAATATCATTTAAGAAGGTGTTAAGATCTTTTAGCTTTTATGGAAAAAGTTAAAAAAAAAATATTTTTTCTTCCGTATTCGGCTCGCATAAATATGGTCACCGCAGGTACAGGAGATCTAGCTAATGCAGTGCTCGGTTTTATACGTCAAAATGAATTGTTAGGTAAAACCCCATATCTGAACAATCATAAGTTGTATGGAGGCCGAAACTTGTAAGCTGTTTGTTAATAAAAAGAGAAAATAGTGCCAAATTTCATTTTCCTAGTGGAGGAGTTATAACGAAAAATCTCATATCTCAACAATCAGTTGTATACGATTCCTACAAAGTACTAATACATTATACAAATACACCCGCTTACCAATTTTTAGTTAGTCGGATATCTCGAAAACTGAGGGACTAGATTGCGACAAACAGACGTTCTGATTTAAGTATACATTTTCATTGGTTTATCTCTTCTTGTTGATAGTTACAAACATACAAACATCGGACCAAAGTTATAATATCATTTCATGTTCATAAAATCGACGTTCTTCCAGCAAACATGGAAAATATGTATTTGCGAAGGAGACATGTAAAATCTTTTAAGCTTTGTCGTTCTCATTATGTACATTTTCACTTATTCGTACAGCTGTGGGGCGCGTCTAAAGTTAATTTTTGTCTTTTATATACGCTGACTATTAATTTGTTGTGTCTATTGTTGTTGTAATTTGCTGTTAATTCTTTGAGGCTGACACCTTAACAAACCGTTGCCAGCATTGTTCATTTCGCTAACGGAAATGTCAACAAAAACGACAGTGTGGCATAGATACGTACGTACGTTTAGATGTATGTAAGTATATTTAAAAGTTGCAAACATATGAACATGCATATTAGGGTGGTTCTTAAAATATCAAGATCATGGGGCACCACTTAATTTTGTTTTTACGTAAAAAATAAAGACATGCACTAAAATTAAAATATTTAAAAAAAAAATAAGGGAATGAAAAAAAAATTATATTTATCTTAACACAAAAATTCGTCAAAATTTTTACTTTGACCAGCTATAGCTCAGATCAGATTTCAAGTATAAATTTTGTCGACTTGTACGATTTAAAAAACATTTCTATTCCTCACAACCAAAAAAAAAAGCTTTTAATTTTCGTGTGTCTTTATTTTAGAAAAAAAAATAAATCGGTGCCCCATACAAAATTTGGATGTTAATAGGTTTAAGGACCACCGTAATGTTTGTAAATATAAAATTAAATACGATATATTGAGTTTCTCACTTACCAATAGCAAACCAGCCGCCACACAGCAAATCATAAATAAATTGGCTTTTATAAAACGCTCCATTATTTGATCATTCCAAAAGTTTTGTATGCTATTTGTGTTGTTTTTCCTCTTGTGTTGTAGCTGCTGCTGCTGCTGCTGCTGCTGCTTTTCACCAAATGCCTTTTCATAATGCATTGTGAATGTTGTGTTTATTGTATTGCGTGCAATATTTAGAAATAAAAAAAAAGTTAAATGCGCACAAAAAACGTTTGTCTTGTTTGTCGTTAGAAAAACAAATGTATAGTAACAAATGGAAGAACGGTTACACGATATCACAATGCCACGGCACCGGTCAACTAAATATGCTTCAATGTAACCAATTTTTTTTTCTTTTTTTTTAATGTTCGATGTTCAGGTGTTTGAATGAATGTATGAAATTCTTGGGTGTTGACTAAGTGACTTCGATTGTGTCGAGTCAATTTGCAACCAATTTGAGGTGAGTTGTCGAGTTCAATGCTGCTGCTGCTGCCGCCGCTGCCGAAACCAACTGCCACCACTTTTTTGATGGAATGAAGCTTGAGTGTTTGTTTTTGGAATTTACGAATTTTATTGCCGCTGTCATTTGCCCGCTTTGGTGATTGTGCGCTTATTCTTATGTTAAATTTGGCCAATTTTGAAGTTTTTATGTACGTATGGTTGTATGTATGTGGCTTTGTGATATTTGTATTTGTCACCAATAGCCGCTATTTCACCGGTTGAAATTTATGAATCGATTTTATGCTTGTTTTAGTTGTTAGTAAAAAATCAATGCTTGTTTTTGTGGACTTCTCCTTTGACAATGAATTTAAAATTGCTTTTATTTTTTTTAGTACTTTCCTCTTTGCTTTTTATCGCTTATTTTATGCTATATGTATGTATTTTTTAAAGCTAAAAGAAGCGTTTTTATGCATTAAGCTGCTTATGTCTCTATACATACATACGAGCGTATGTCGTATTTGTCTGTCTGTCGTTGTATTTGTCGCGCTTTCAATGTGCAGTTAGTTGTGCTGAAATGAAAATTTCCACCGTTTAATGTTTGAAGTTTATCAAATGGGCGTTTGGAATGGAATTGTTAGGATGAAGATACATATGTATATAGTAAATGAGGAATGAGTTTATAAGTGTGTATGTATGTATGTATATTTATAAGTTTATGAAATTTTTTATCTGCTTTTTTGTACATGTAAGTAGTATAAACATTAAATTACCCGCAATTTACAATATTTCGCTTCTCTCACACTGACTTTGCAAATTATTTAAACACAAAAGACTTTAGGCACGAACTCAGTGAGTTGAATTAAATTTTCAAGAGCAATGCTTAAACTTTTTATTGCCCTACTGACACACAGCGCATTTTATGATAGTTTTTTTTTGTCACATATTTCCGAATGCTTGTTTTTACTGAAATAGAGTGAAAGAGAGTTTCATGAGTTGTCGGATGAAGTGCATACTTTTTACCAGACAAGAACGGAATGAGGCAAAAAGTCGAATGAACTGTTTAGTGTTTGTGTGAAAACTGAGAAATTTTTGGCGCCAGCTATTCTTGCTTGATCCCTTTTTCATCCAAGTATCGAACAGACATCGTACATAGTGCATACTCATAGTACATTCATAGTATGAAGTCGATTTTTTGAGTAAATTTAAAAATTAAATTGCTTGGAAATGTCAAGAGTTTTAAAAGTGCTTCTCAGCGGTTGAAAATTTACTAAATTTTTATGGTCTAGACTGTTTACCTATGTATAGTCTTTCGTAATACTTAATTGTATTTCAGTTACCATCGACCCATGGTTACAGTGTCTAGTCTTCCAAAGGTCTGATTGTCTGAATCTGACCGCCGATTTCATAGCCACTTCTTTGTGGTGAATACCGAAAGGTATGCTTCTTAATTTTCTGGCATTATATTGTTTGTTAAGTCCGGACCACCAGATCAGTGCGCCATATGTTAGGATTGGTCTTATGATCGCGGTGTACATCCACATACCAAATTAAGGTTTTAGTCCCCAGTTTCTGCTGAAGGTTATGTTGCAAGTATAGTATGCAACGCAGGTATTCTACCGAAATACGAATTTCAGCATTAATTTTTCAATTAAATTTGCTATTCAGCAAGACCACAAGGTACATTGCGCTAGGGTTCTTTCAAGTATTTCTCTAAAAGTTTAATGGGCTGCAGCTGCTATTACAATATCATCGGCGTACGTCAGAACTTCAACACCCGCTCGGTAGAGTCGTCGCATTAGTAACAAAAAATTAATACTTTCTTTGAAACAATGAATATTTTCAATACAGACGCATTTCTTAATATCCAGCTAATTCGCAAATAAGCGGTATTTTTCGACATTTTGTCGATTTCAACCCAAACTTTGATCGACAATAAAGGAAGGTATTTTTAGAGGTATAAAACTTCGAAAACAATGAGATTACATAATTTCGAACTGAAAGTTTACTATACTCAATAGAACAATGATTGAATGCTAAATATTAGTGTTTCAATACATATCATTTCGATCATAGGGACCGCGACTGGCTCGCATTTTGCGGATTCTTCAAGTCAAGTTTTCGACCACTTTTTCCTGCAGTCGGATGGTTGTCTCCCAATGCGTCCAAAGTATCTGTTTGTTGGCATCGAATCTAGAGGTGTTAAGTCGTATGCCCTCAGTGCCCACTTAACTGACATTAACGCATTTACCAACTCTTTTGCGTTTGTTTTTGTATTATTTTAATTTGCGCAGTTGGAAACCGTTATTCATGATAAACTGGCAAACATAACTGAGCACATATCATTGTGACCAATTTGTATGTAATAGTTATCGGTAAACGGAACCCTAAAAACGACCTAATAGTGAAAAACAACAAAACTGCTGGAGCTGCAAAGACAAATAGTCAGCGCATACGCTTCTTGGCACCCACGTCACTATTGACAGTTACAGGTTTGAAAAAGTAGACAACTTCGTTTATTAAGGAACCAGCAGTAACGCCAATAATAATGTCAGCTGTCAGTGATATTTCAGACTGACTCATTTTCCCTTCGAGGAATATAAGTCTCCCAGGTAAGGGGTACACATTCTAAGCAATTAAAAATTTTCAACGGAAATGATGCAATCGATTTCTTTCACAAATTGCAATTCAGTCCACAAATGCAGAGTAACGCACTCCCATATTTACACAAAGCATCAAGTATATGAATTTCGCTAAGTTTCAAAGTCAGTGCCTTGAGACTCAGCAATTTTCTACGCTAAAGCGCTTCTTGGGAGCGTTATCACCCACACTTAAAATAATCTAAGGCGTAATTCAGCTTCAAATCAATGCCAACCCCCTTTTATGCGTTGCATAATAACGCAGTCAAACCAATTTTGTACAATTTAAGCAAATTTAAAATTCTCAAAAAAAGACAAGAAGTAATTTCAGACATTGGAGCTTAAAGTTGCGTGGCGCAGCGTAGCGGCTTTATTAAGTCATTTTTTTTAGTGTTATAACACCGATTATTTGATGCTATGAATTCAACTTTTATACAAACATAAACTACGCGTACATAGTATTTAAACCAACAACATCAAAAATGCAAAAAAAAACAGTAAATTAAATTTTCGAAGAAGCATCCAAGCAAATGTGTATGTATTTCCATATGGATCTATGTACGTAAGTAAATTTGAAGTAGTCACTTGAGAAGCCAACGACATGACAAGCCAAAAAAAAAACACCTCCTCAAGTATGCGGGTTTACTATTATATAATAGCATTAAAACGTCAAAATGCCAGTGAATCGCTTAACATTGAGCTTGTGTGATTGCTTGCGTGATTTATTGAAGAGCCTCCACTCGCTCAATTGAGTGGGTATTTAGGGGTGCAGCGGCAGTTATTGATGTGCGACTGCGAGAGCGATGACGTTAGTGGACAAAACTTTTAGTTGTATTCGTCATTTTTTACTTAAAGAGTATTTTTCAATTTATTAGTCATATTGATCGTACATTAGCCGATTAGAGCGCTACTGGATTTATTTTATAGCACGCGCCAAAATCAGGCAGACTTATGCTTGTAAGTAAAATAATTCTATGTTGGATAAGTAAACGGTGAATGGACAGTATTTACACAAAAAAAAACTGTTTAGTCATGTATAGACACATATCAACATATGTACATATGTATGTATGGGTGTATGTAGTATGTACCATTTATGTACATGTAAATAAAACCAATAACGTAATAAAGCAATCGTCCGTACATTGCAGACGAACGGATACCGCGTGACAACCGCAATATACCAACACCGGATATTGTTAAAGAATGTATAAATATGTACGCTCGAACGTTGGTTTTCGTATTTTATTATCATTGTTCTGGCCATACCTTCTTGAGTGCATACGTATATTTAGCCTTATGGTTATACGTTTGGCTCATTTTCTCGTACGTGCCCTACCGCCAATACTGTCATTTTTTGCAGTGAGGCATAATTGCAGTAAAGAACTCTACTGCATTTAAGTAAGAAATTAGCGACGTACATTTTTTGTTTTGCCGTTCGTTCTCTATTTTTCTCCTATCTCTTTCAAGATTTTTGCAATCTTTCTTTAACTTGATTTTTGCTGCATATTGTTCTCTCAAGTTCGTTTCTTAAGTCTTTAGTTTCAGTCGCTTTATTGAATATTAATTTTTATAACTTTCATGATTTTTTTTTTACAGCCCTACCAGCGCTATAGTTCCACTCATATAATACATCAACACTGATACATATATATATGTATGTATACGCTATCCTACTGTAACTTATTTTGAAGGACGGTGTTGCCTTTGGAGTTTACCTTTGTTTTCCTAAAAGTCGTTTTTCTCTTTTAATTTATGACACGTCATTTGATATTTAAAAATCATTATTATAAAACATTAATACATTTTAATAACTACTACATATCTCGCAGTCATAGCTTTAAAAACAGAACCTAAAATTCAAAAACATTTGTTCTTTATTGAAGCGAAACTTCTTTGCGCTCTGTTAGGTGTAAATCCAAACATCGAGAAAACAAAAAAAAATTACAGAAAGGAGGGCATGGCAGGAGTGGTTGGGCGCTGTTATGACTAACGACTAAGAATAAGGTTGCGATTAAGATTCAAATTAAAAGTAAGATTAAAGCTAAGATTAAAATTAAGAGTATG